TGTGTCCTGCTTGTGTGGACTTCTGCTCACACCCTGTTCCTAACCAATCCGGGAGCCCGGACCTGTCCCGCGAAATTCCCATCTGCAGGAGACAACTGCAAAAACACACAAACCTAACAGGTTTCTTCTTCTTCTTTCTTTTTCTTCTTCTTTTTCTTCTTCTTTCTTCTTCTTTCTTCTTCTTCTTTCTTTTTCTTCTTTTTTCTTCTTCTTTCTTCTTCTTCTTTCTTCTTCTTCTTTTCTTCTTTTTTATTTTCCTTTCAGGTTGGGGAGAAAGATGGAAGGAGGAAGCTGGGGATTTCTTTGTCCTTCATTTTCTGCAGTGTCTGTTAGACCTGGGAAGCAGGGGGGGGCAAGCTGGATTTAAAACTGTCCAGCCTGCTACCTCTCCTAGAGCTTTCAGAGTAGCTCCTCACTGTCTTTTGAGATGGATCCCTTTTATGGGGAAGGGTTTGGGTAGATAGAAAACAGCTGTCAGGATAATTGACTGTTAGCACCTGGACAGAAGAGTGGGGACTGGGGCTCAAGGCTGCCTGTGGGTAGATAAGTGTAAGAATATGTCATGTGGAAGGTGTTAGAAATAAAGAATGGGTTGGGACTGCAGGTGGCAGGTCCCCGGTTCTGGAGTGGGTGATGGACAGCCGGGAGGGAGGCGGGGAGAGACCTGTAGACCTGGCTCATATTGAAAGTTTTATTGGGGGGAGGTAAGAAAAGAGGTAAAGAGACAGAATTCTGACGGAAGAGAAGAGGGAGACAGGAAAAGTCCTATCTGCCCCAGGGGAATGGCAGAAAAGAACGATGTATTTGTTTGTTAGTTAGTTTGTTTGTTTTTCAAGACAGGGTTTCTCTGTAATTTTGGAGCCTCTCCTGGAACTCACTCTGTAGACCAGGTTGGCTTCTAACTCACAGGGATCCTCCTGCCTCTGCCTCCCCAAGTGCTGGTTTAAAGGTATGCACCACCACTGCCAGCTGGGAATTTCTTTTAAAGGGGTCCTTTGCACCTGTGATTAGACTATGTAGCCATGGACTGACCAGGGTACTGCCTGAGTGCATCCTGCCAGGTGACAGGGCCAGGCCAACATAATGCCTGAATCCTTACAGAAGGGAAGTCATCAAGGTGTCTGGGAATACTTGTTTTCCTTAGGCAAAAGGGCAACCATATATTACAGATTCAGGAGTTTAGCAAGGCAAGGAGGGTGGTCATACAACATGAGGTCACAAGTTCAGTTTAGACTGAAAAACATAGTTTCCAGGATACATCAGTCTTAGGAAACAGAAACTTATTCTTCTAAGGTATGGAGACTTAATAACAATGTATAGCACTGTGGTTCCTGTTTTGGTTTCACTTTCGACAGGTGTAAGCTCTTCTGAAAGGCTCCTCAACATTCAGGAAAGCCACAGCAATGTTCATTTTACTGCTGTAGATTGTGCACAAATACAATGTCAATAGCCAAGGGCTTAATAAATTTTGTTTAGCTGATC